TAGCTCTTGTGGTTTGATGTCGGTCAGAATCTGTTCCTCTATCTCGTCTGTGTTTATGTTTTCGTTTGTTTCTTTGTTCGGATAGACCAAAATTGCATAACTCCTGCTGTCACCCTCATTTTGAACTTTTGTATTGATTGTTTGGGTTATTGAGTTAGTTGTGTTGCTTGGTTTTCGTCTATTGCTTAGGGCCTGAGCGTAGGTCTTCTGAGTAGGTGTTGTTTGTGATTGTATAATATTTGCTCTTAATCCTTCCTGTCTATTTCGTTGTCTCATTTTTTTCAGCATTCCATGCATTTGGTTGAGAACGGCGTACATTTTCATTGCTCTCTCACAAACTTCTGCTCTTTCGTGCACCCTCATTGTGGTGTTTTTTGATTGTGGGCAGAGTTCTATGATTCTGCCCAGACAAATACTTGCTTCCTGCAACATTTCCTCTTCGGTACTCCATGTTGCCCATTCCTCAACTTCGGCCAGGGGTCCTCCAGGAGTACCTGGCATTGGTACTAGTGATCCGCCACCTCTTGTTTCTTGTAATTCCATAGTGTTATCCATGACTAAATTTATTGGAAATCCCAACCCAATAGTGGAACTGGGCACAAGTAATATAAATTTTTAAAAACTAATTAAATAATAAAGACTGTGTATTTGGAAAGTGGCTCTGTGCCAGCAATTCTGTATTGCCAATGTAATATTAGCAGTACAGAATGAATAAGACTTAAAATTAAATCTTATACTAATATTATAAGATAGAACAGATGTACAGATGATCAAAACCATACAGTCAATATGCTGTTATCGATGTAAACAAAAACAGATGTTCAGTCCAGCTGTTTGAAGAAAACCGTTGCAAAAGTTTGTTATTAAGTTTGTTACATCAAACACTGTCGATAGCCGTTGGTAAGACGAAGGTCAATGACCGTTAACGTGAGTGCAGGGGCCAGTGGAAGAAACTCAAAAATTTTAAATTTGCAATAATTTAAATTCTATTCAAGTTATCACTATCAAATTTGGATATTATTACGAACTAATGATCCTCTTACTGATGATTTCATCAAAAATTGCCGATGACGAAATCCTGGCCCGATGCGGCCCGATTTGTCTCAGGACAAAAAGTTAAATAATTCCTTTCAAAATAGGACAAAGGTCACCAAATTTTTGTACAGTACTCACTACTTAGTGTTCCATCGATCTCCGTCCTTATTTCCGGTTGATTGAATTTTTCAGTCCGGAAAATCGGGTTCGAAAATCCCACTTTTCAAAGCGAATTATCCGAAATTTGGGTGGGCCAAACTTTTCAACTGTGACGTCATTTGAAGCAGCTTTTCATCCTCTTTCCAGCAATGTATCACACTTAGTGCTACCACCAATTTTCACAGAATAATCACAACTTAAACCAGAGCCCAATTTCACCACATCCACACTAGCACGTGACTCGTCGCTCTCTGTCTGCTATAGACATTGTGAAGATAGATATGGCCGAGCATTTGGCATAGCCTAAAGAGGGGGAGGAAGGGTATGGAGAGAGAGGGGTGGGATAAAGTGTTTGAAGGGAGAAGGAAGGGTATGGAGAGAGAGGGGTGGGATAAAGTGTTTGAAGGGAGGAGGAAGGGAAGGATCCCATAAAGACCAGCATTGGGGCCAAATATTAAAAGGGATAAACAAGGTGTTACAAATTTGTCTATAGTGACAGATAACAGATATTTGTCCCGACACAGAGTAAAATTATTAACCTATACATAATTTGCCAGAGAGACCGTGAGTGCCAGACCTTTGCGGCCTGGTTACAAAGCAGGTACCGGAACCCAATTGGCGGGTTGAGAAGAAGTTTACAGAAAGTACAGCCCTCCACATAGGAGGAACAGGACTGAGACTGATTACAAATCAAAACCGATGGGGCCAAAAGAACAGAAAGGTGGCCCTTACTCAGGATAAGATTTTAATGTCTTTAGTGAACTTATACAATGCGTTGTAGAAGCACTTGTTGGCCATAAATTGGTCCGGGTTGCATGGTTAGGGGATGTTTTCTTCCTGGGCGGCAGAGATTAGTTTTCTTCTTTCTTGGTCAAATTTCGGGCAGTCAAACAGAATGTGGTCACTATCCTGCCATGGTGAGGAGGGGCACAAGCAGAGGCCATTCCCTTTTATAAGGAAGCGTGCTAGGTAATTACCCATATTACTGTGTTTGGTGATGAGCTGAGTGAGCTCATACGTGGGGGTCAGATGACTATAGTTCAACCTCTTCCTGATAGATGGGAGGAACCAAAACACTGTCCTTCCAGTAGAGCTGCTGGCCCACTTGTTCCAACAGTCAATAATATAGGAGTGAACCTGCCTCGCGATCCAACAGTATGGGATTTTATTGTAAACACACTTGTTGAGGTTCGTGATTGCTTTCTTCGCCAGCAGATCGGCTTCAACATTGCCTTTCACACCACTGTGGCCCCTGACCCTGTTAAGCACCAAGGAGGGGCAGAGGGTGGAATCCAACTCGAGCAGGATATTCTTAATGATAGGGAGCTTAGTGTTCCTATTTTGGATTTGATGGAGGACAACTTTGCTGTCAGTATGTATAGTAACCCTATTATGGTTGTGTTTATGGCTCCTATTATTGATGTATTCCAATGCTTTAAGCAGAGCCAAGGACTTGGCCTGGTTGTTTGTGCAGTAACTTTCCGTCCTGAAGTAGCGCTGATAAATGGTCCTTTCCTTTGCATCGTGCACCACGAAGGAGCCACCCGTGCCTTCGTCAGAGTGAGAGCCATCTGTGTAGATATTGATGTCACTAGTGTTAGATGGGGGACTGTCCATAATGATGTTATAATTGGGGTCAGTTGCCGGATGATAGTTAATAACATTTGTAATATCCATACCCCTATCAGTGATTAGGGTAATTAGATTGGGGATAATATCCCTCTCCACAAAGGGCATAGCCACCTTCCAAAATTGCTCCTGCGTAATGCTATGCCAGGCCAACTTCTTCATGTTGTGAAGAATATACCTTCCCATGATGAATAGGTCAATAGGCATAAGGTTGGATATTATCAGAAGCTTGTCCGTGGGTGCTGTTCTGTATGCTCTGGCCATATAGAGGGCCGCCAGCCTTTGAAGAGATAGAAGTTTCCTACTGATGTGAATTGTTTTTACCCTGTACCTTCAAACCTTGCAGTCATAGGCAACAATCTGCTGCGTGACTGCCAGGTAGGTGGCACGCCTGGCCTTATAGTTAAGTCCCCACTTGTTCCTAGCTATAGAAGCCAGGGCATAACTGATTTCCCCGTGCCTTGTTGTAAACCTCGTGCACATGGTCTTTCCAAAGAAGTTTATGGTCGATGTGTAGACCCAGGTACTTAATGGTAGTTTTGTACTTTATTTTCTGATTCTTTATCTTTACCGATGGGGGTTTGCTCAGCGGGTTACCCCTAGGGAAGAGTATGCAGCTACACTTACTGTAATTAATGATTAGATTGACCTTCTCACTCCAGTCATGGACCAGAGTCAGTAGTTCATTCATATTTTCTTGAAGGACTTCCTGATTTCAGTAGGACAACACGATCACTGTGTCGTCTGCGTAGCCCTGGATCATGGTGTTTAAGGGCCTGCTTTCTTGGAGCTTGAGCAGCCCATTATAAAGAATATTCCACATTAGGGGGCCAGACTTAGAGCCCTGCGGACACCCCCTATTAACAGCCCTAGAATAAATGTTCCTATCTTTATGGTAGTAGGTGATGCATCGATCCCTAAGGTAGCTGCCAATAATACTGTGGATGTTATTGGGACAGTTTGCCTCCCCAAGCTGGTGGAGAATTTCCGGCCACCAAGCATGGTCGAAGGCGCTATTGAAATCGATGGCAACCAACAGTGTGTGTTTATTATTTTTCTTTGCTGTGTTGATGTAATCTATAATGCTGTCTAAAGCACTTATAGTGTTTTTTCCACTTATAAAACCAAACTGAAGAGGGTGGAAAAAATTTATAGAGTCCAGATGATACTTTACCCTGTTGATAATAAGAGAGTCCAACATTTTGCCGAAGAAGGACAGCAGGGCAATAGGACGGAAGTCAGAAGGTGCCGTTGGAGTTTTACGAGGATCTTTTGGAATAAGTTTGACAGAGGCCTTATTCCAGCAGGTGGGGAAGTAGCCAATGTCTAAGCATTTGTTAAAGATGAGGATGAAGGTAGTAGAGAAGGCATAGACAGCTTCCTTGGCAGCTTGCCAAGTGATAAAGTTAGGGCCCGGTGCTTTATTTCTCTTAATATTTTTGGCTTCTTTCCAAATTTCAGTGGCTGTGAAAGGCTTGTCGTTATAACCACAATGATATTTGCTGGCCTTGTTCCTGATAGTTTTATGGTGCTCAGTATCTTTAGACGGCTCGTCTTGAGGGAACAGAGCGTCGAAGATACTCTGACAGGTATCCTAAATAGATGTTGTAAAGATGCCCTGCCCCTTGTCGATAGTAGGGGGAAGCAGCTGGCCTTACCCTTCTTCCTCACAATATAGTAGGGGATTGACCAGGGGTTGTCGCCACACCTGTCTGTGCAGAAACTACGCCAAGACTTCGTTTTAGTAGTGTTAATTAACTGTTTATATTGTTTGTAACAATTCATGTAGTCCTTCCTTTTTTGTTCCTTCCTGTGTGGATCTGACTCCCTCCTGAACCTTCGCTTACACCTCCTTACCTCCTTCCGTTTTTTCGTTAATTTGCCATCCCACCATGGGGCGTTTACCTTTCTAACTTTGAATTTGGTGGAGAGGAACACTGCCTCGTGGATGGTACTGGTGAGGTCGAGAATAACTTTGTCTAACTCTTCCTTAGAGTTCATGGAAATTATTGTAGGCAGCCTCCAGAGGTTAGTAATGCAGTTTTGAAAATTATCCCAATTTGTGATGCTAGTGATCTTTTAACTGCAGCTCGCTTTGCCATTCTTTACCGTGGTCATGATATAGTTATGGTCACTGGCTGAGATGAGGTCCATAGTACTGCACTCCACTTCCTGATCTAAGCAAACTGGGGTTCCCCAGACACATTCACCCAACTCTTGCCTCTACTAGTGGAAAAGGTGGGCAGCGGGCTAACATTCAGAGAGGTCAAGTCAAACACTGCCATGAACTCACAAAGGAGGTACTCCCTTGGGTCTTCCACTGGGCTATGCCAGAGGTGCGATTTGGCATTGAAGTCGCCCAACAGTAGAACCGGGCTGCCCTTCAGACAGTCCAAGGTCTGACTGAGGATATCCAGCAGTGGCCTTAGATTATCGTCAGGTGAGCAGTAAAAGGAGATAATAAATAAGGGGTCCCAGGGGGTATCCACCCTGACAGTGGTGTAGTACTGATTAGAATATTGGGTCACCAGTTGAGCCGTGAGACCTTTGTTATAAATAACAACACCAGTCTTGGTCGTATAGTTGTTACTAGAGAGGGTAAGAACCTTGCCAGAGCCTAGCATGGCCACTTTCCCATTCACCACATAAGGCTCCTGAATATCTAGAATATCTATGTCTCGATTCAATGCCATTTGGAGGGCTTCAGAGGATGCGGCTTTTGACTGCTGCAGGTTAATTTGTAAGATTCTGAGATTATTCATGTTACTGCCATAATGGTTGTCTTCCATGGGTGGGTGATTAAGACCGGAAATGGTTGCTTGGACGGCTGTCAGCATTACTCGTAGTGTATAGTTCTGATTTGGTTTGCTTTGTAGCGTTGTAAAATCGGGCCGCCTTTATTGAAAGCATTATGATCAGTTGTAAGAGCTTTACTTTCCGGTATCGTTTTATTAAAATTCCTACAGTTTGAACATATTCAAATTGTTTCAATCTTTTTTCAGATTGGGGCACTCTTTAATCTTGTGTTTTTTTGCGCAATGGGTACATTGTTGTTTCTATGTACACCTGTTGAAGTGTGCCCAAAGCCTGTACAGTTACAGCATCTAATGATGTCTATATAATCGTCAATTACAATCGAGCTCCACCCCAAATAAATTCTTCCTTGCTGCATTAGGATGTTTCGGGTATCTGGTCTCTCACTCAAGACCGTGTAGGTCCGTTGGTTCCTGCCTTTTGGGTGGAAACTATGAGAAACCTTAGTTGTGTCAATGAACTCCTGTTCACTGATTCCCTCTTGGATCTTGGCATTCTGATTATATATGTCTTTTATTAGGTCTGCCCCCTCCGAATTGGTTGGGACATTAAATAAGATAATCTTTGGGGATTTCTTCTTCTTTTCAATAAGTTTTATTTTGTCACTAAGAGCCTCTTTCAATTGCACCGCCTTTTTTAAGGCTTGCAGGTCATTATCCTCCAGTACCTGGATCTTGATATCTCCCTCAGAGAGGGGTCTTATAGTTTTGATTTTTATCCCCAATTGTTTGGGGTCCACATGTCTTTGTAAAAGCTCTAGGGTTTCCTTCGGAGTAGGAACTGGCTCATTAGGGTTTTTAATAGCAGAGACGATAATCTCGTGATTATTATTCTTCGGATTTTTAATACCTTCTAAGGCCGCTGATTTTTTTCGCTATCAGTTTAGTGGTGTTACTTATAGGGCTATGATAATGTTTAGTAACCTCAGCATAGGTACCTATACTAGGTTGTTTATCGTTTTTAGTAAGAGATTTGACACGCTTCCTTAATTCAAGAACCAGACCAAAGATCTGGTTCGCTGCTCAATGCATTTTGATAGCCGCCTCTTTAACGGCAGCTCTTTCCTTGAATTTCACAGAGACGTTTGAATTAGCAGGGATGTTAGTAAGGATAATTCCAAGTTGCGAGTTAATGTTAGCGGTCAGGTCTTTCTCAGCAAAGCTGTTGTTGGACAAAGCACAATCCGTGACCTCCGCCATGACAATCACAACACAGACACAATATGCCAAGAACAGGCCAAATTTATAAACGAATGATATATTACGCTTGGGTGCATGAAAAACGCGACCCGAAAAACGGACAAAAAAGCATTTGAATTAGGGTCAGATAGGGTAACTGACTTGGCCACGTGCTAAGGTCAATGACCTCTGGATCCTTTGTGCAGCACCAAAGTTAATATAATTATATTTCAAAAACTAAATCACCGATCGAGTCCAAATTTACAGGATAGATGGAGGGCAAGGTGATAAAGGTAACACCTGAAGATTGTTCACTTCTGCGGCCTGATAGGCCCGCACAACGATCCGAGGTAAAAAACACGTTGACCACGAAAAAACAAGGACCGGTTGCCGTAGATAAAAACGGAAGACGTCATTTTAAAGATCATTAAAATCCGATTAAAATGATATGCTGGAAGTCCGCTTATCGGCGGAAACAGCCCGGAAAAAGTTGCCGGAAAATCTGGAATTTTCGGGTTGCGTAACTTTTGATCCGCTTCATTGATTTGGAAAAAAACTGACACCAAACGACTGCTGATGAAGAACGTAATCCAACAATATATATTAATCCATATATTGATGAAAAATGACGGCGATGGAGCAATCTAAAACTGGAGCACGTACACACACAGCTTACCAAGTTTGCGACCTAGATGGCGCTCTTGTCTGCTATAGACAGGAGGAGGTAAAAGACAAGGCCAAACTCAACGGTATAGCCCTTAGGATGAAATGAAAGAAGAGTAAAGGTGGAAGGGGATGAGGGTGAAGGTGAGGTAAAGTGGGATAGAAAAGAGGAAAAGAGCAACCTTGGACCCATGGGCTTCTTGCATCGCCTTTATTGAACAATAACACAAAAATACATGGAATACGTAAAGCAAAAATGATTACAAATTAATGAGTGAAAGTAACATACTAAACGCGGTCGAGATATACAGTACAAAATAAAATACATTAAAGTGGTTACATACAAAACAAACCAGACATTAAACTTAAAACAGTACATACACAAGCAGAAGATAAGGCTGCAACAGGTGCAAATAAAAACCCAGAGCAAAGGTAGGGTACAGAATATACAGGAGTGTACCGTCAATGATACAGTGTGAAGCAATACACAAAAGAAGAGTTGCAGCCCTATCTCGGGCGGCGCACAGCCAGGTAAGTCCGTCGGGCCTGCTGAGAGCCCAAGAACAATACAGTGAGGCTTGTGCCGGGAGCTGGGAACACAACACGAGCACTAGAAGAACTGTAGAAGTAAGCGCCGAGCACAATAGTAGATGAGAGCTAGTCCAAAATGCCTATGTCTTTGGCAAAGTTCCTAAAGGCATCAAAGATGTTACTGTTCTTCGTCAGAGTGTTTAAAGTGCAGAGCCAATGCACCTTATTGTTGTAGACAGCGTCAATCAGAAGCCTACGCTGATTGGAGTGGAGTGGGCAGTGGAAAATAATGTGATAGGTGTCCTGATCCTCATTGAGGTCACAATCACAAATCCCATCAGTCTTGTTGAGGAACCTTCTTAAGTAAGTCTTTAGGTTGCCATGCCCGATGAGCAACTGCGTAAGCTGGAACGTAATGCTATGGTGGGGGTAAGAGGACTTGGTTGGAATGATAGGAAAAAAGTTGTACGTAAGCCTGCCAGTGTCACAAGTATCTCACCTTTGTTGCCAGGAGTTCAGCATGATACTGTGGATACTGTGCTTGATATGCGTGAGGCTAAGCTTGTTGTAGGAGACAAGTCCATTAGTCATTGGTGCAGAGCGGGCAAGAAGGTCAGCCCTCTCATTGCCGACAATTCCCGAGTGCCCCTTAACCCAGTGAAAAGACACATTGACATTAATGCTTTGCAGAGCAATGATGGTGTTGAGGCTCTCATTAACGATGTGGAGGCAGTTATTAAGCTTCATGAGCTGCTGAATAGCTATTCTGCTATCACTGAATATGTGGAAGTTGTTGACCATAAGGAGCTGACAATTATTCTTAATCCATTGTAGGGCGAATAGAATGGCCAGAGACTCAGCCTGGTTATTTGTGCAATGCGAGGCAAGCCTCCTTTGCAGCTGGTGGAGACGATGCCTCTTGTAGGCGACAAAGGCACAGCCAACATCCGTGTCACTCTTACAACCATCGATGAAGATTCTAATAGAAGAGTTGTTGGTGATGGTAGTGTTGGTGTCATACTGAATAGAAAAACCAGAGTGAATTGGAGGAGCATCATACACTTTTTCAATACCATTTGTGAGGGCGAGTTTGCCTATGCTGAGTATATCCTTGCTGAAGTTGTCGTTGGAGACCATCTGATTAAATTGGCTGGAGGTGATCTTATTATCAGTCAATTTGAAGATGTTATACCTGATGAAAGCCTCACGGACCTTGAGGTCGATAGGTAAAAGGTTGCACAATACAAGAAGAGCCTCAGTAGGAGCGGTCTTATATGCCTTAGCTATAGAGATAGCTGACAACCTTTGAATGGAAAGAAGCTTCCTCTTGATGTGCACTCTGAGTGCAGAAGAGCTCCATATCTCCACCCCGTAGAGAATGACCGGCTCTATTGCAGCAGTGTACAGTATCCTGCTAGAGGATGGGCTGTACCCCCGGTGGTTCCTGCATATCGATTTTAGAGCATTGGTAATCTTGGTAGCCTTTTGGTAGATATAATACACATGCTCAGTACAGTTGAGCCTGTGGTCGATCAATATACCCAGGTATTTCACTGAAGTAACGTTCTTAATTTTTATGTTCTGAAATTTAATACTGGGTCCTTTCTTTAGGGGATTGGCCTTGGAAAAAACAATTACGTTGCACTTATTATAGTTAATTTTGAGTTTCATCTTCTCGCTCCAGTTTAATATGTTGCCAAGTACTTTGTTTACCGTTTGTTGTAATATCTCATGGTTAAAGTGGCTCATCAGGAGTACTGTGTCATCCACGTACCCCTGAATGAGCACGTTATGATCCCTGGAAATGCTGGACTGAAGCATGAGCAGGCCGTTGTACAGTATATTTCATAGAAAGGGGCCAGAGCGGGAGCCCTGCGGACAACCCCTGTGGATCTCCTTGCGCAGATGGATGTTGTTACCAGTTTTAACAGTAATGTGCCGGTTGTTAAGGTAGGTCTCGACCAGATGATAAATATTCTTAGGGCAATGATCCCTCCTCAAATTGTACAGAATAGCTGGTTACCAAGCGTGGTCGAAAGCCCCTTTGAAGTCAATAGAGACCATTATAGTGTGGTTATTGTTATTTCTAGCCTCCTTGATGTGGCTGCAGATATTGTCAATGGCCCCAATAGTACTTTTTCCCCTCCTGTACCCAAATTGCCTGTTACTGATGAGTTTGTTGTATTCATAATGGTGGATAATTCTGTTGATTACAAGAGAGTCCAGCACTTTGCCAATAATAGGCAGGAGGGAGATGGGACGGAAGTCAGATGTTGTAGGAGGTGTGCTGTCCTTGCATTTGGAAATGAGCTTTATTGAAGCCTCCTTCCAATTAGATGGGAAGTATCTGAGCTCAAGACACTTATTCATTAGGATGCTGAACGTTGTTGGTATGGCATTGAAGGCCAGCTTGGCCATCTTGGAAGAAATATTATCCAGCCCTGGGGCTTTGTGAAGTTTAAGGTTGTGAAACTCCTTTGCTATTTCGGTGAAGGTGAAATTAGAATCGTGGGAGTTGATGTAGTCCTCCTTGAGGCTTCTCCTTACTTCTTTGTGGTAGGTATTGTCCTCGTCTGTGTTATCATCAGGAAATAATTCATCAATATCATCAAATAATTCATCAATAATTCATCCTAATTCAATAATAAGGAAATAATTCATCAATAATCTGAGATATCGATGAGATGAATGTAGCAATATAACACACCACTACGTAAATATAAAATCCTTTGCGAAAACTCACGACAGACAGGAGCACAAAATCAGTCAACTTGCTTGCTTGACGACTCAGGTCTGCTATAGACATGCGTCCGAAAGAAGGAAGGCTGTCACCAGACTTAGTTATGGGAAACAGGGAAAAGAGAGGGAAAGTAGTGGGGAGGAAGGGATATGGGCTAGGAAGTGGGTAGAAGGGAGTGGGGTGAGAGTGCAAGAGGTGAAGAGAAGAGTTAAGGGTGGGGATCTCATTGGTGTCTTGCATCGCATTTATTTAAAACAATGACAATATAATTATATGGACCAATTTGGTCTGAGGTACCAAGTGGTTACCTGGTACAATACAAAAGTACCCGACTACATTACCATTATTACCCTATTACATTTCTATATTTACACTATACCTTTTTCCTAGCGTTGAAGTGCTGCTTCTATGCAGGGTCCGCTTTTTTGCATTCCCTTCTCCATTTGGTATGGTCCAATGCGTTGTCCGGCGTGACGTTTACCCTCCTCATGTCATCTTGCAGTCAATCCATCCACCTCATTTTGGGGTGCCCTCGGGGTCATCATCCAGGTGGGCTTAGTTGTAATGCTCTCTTTGCTATTGAGTGTTCATTACTACGAATGACATGGCCATACCATCTGAGTCTTGCTTCTCGCATCTTTTCAGATATAGGGGCCACTCTCATGATCTTACGGATGTTTTCATTCGGGATGTGGTCAAGTCGGGTAAAGCCAAGACACCAGCGGAGCATCTTCATTTCCATGGTATGGAGAATTTGTTCATGGCAGGTGCTTGATAGCCAGCATTCCGACATGTATAGGGCCACTGGGCGGACAACAGATTTGTAGATTTTCGCCTTCAGCCGGGTCTGCATACGATGGTCACAGAGGTAGCCAGTGCATGGTAGCCACTTTAGCCAGGCTGCATTGGCTCATGCCTTTGCATCCAGGGTTGTTTCACCATCATTGCTGATGAGTGAGCCAAGGTATTTGAATTGAGTGGGCTTCTTAAGGTCTTCTCCATTAATGTTAATGGATCCGTTCGTCTGGGCCCCACACTCTAGGTATTCTGTCTTCCTGATGTTGAGCCTGAAGCCGACACCAGCAAGGCAGTCATTCCACTGGAGGACTTGGTCCTGTAACTCCTGTCTCGACTCTGCTGCAAGGAGGATGTCATCTGCATAGAGTAGGGTCCATGGGTGTGGACGTTGAATATTGGCTGTTGTACAGTCCATACAGAGAATGAAAAGGAGGGGTGAGAGGACTGATCCCTGGTGTACACCAGCTTTGATGCTGAACATGGGTGAGGTTCCCACTGGACATCTGACCACACTGGTCACATCAGTGTACAGGAGCTGGGTCCATTGAACGTAGGCTTCTGGGACATCATGGACTCTGAGCGAACGCCAGATAAGGTTACGTGGAACACGGTCAAATGCTTTCTCCAAGTCCAGGAAGGCCATATGGAGAGTTTTGTTCTTCTCCCGGTATCGTTCGTGAAGTAGTCGGGCAGCATGTATTGCATCTGTTGTTCCACAGCCCTTAATGAATCCACATTGGTTTGGAGTCAGGTTGACAATTTGGCGAAGCCGGGTGTCGAGTATTCGCTCAAATATCTTCATGGCATGGCACAGGAGTCGGATCGGTCGGTAGTTGGTACAGTCTGCCACATCGCCTTTACCCTTCCAAATTGGCACCGTGATGCTAGTTGACCAGATTGGTGGTACTTCTTTGTCTTCAGTTATCTTGTTGAAAAGAGCTGCGAGGGCCTCCTCCCCTCGCCCTCCAAGAAGCTTCCATGCTTCAGTGGGTATATCGTCTGGTCCGGGTGCTTTGCCATTCTTCATTTTCATGATAGCCTTTCCAACTTCTTGTGGCGATATCCGGGGGAACTGGTCCTAGTACTGGGTCTGCTTGGTGGATTGGAGGGTGTGGGAACTCTTCATTGCAGATGGCTGAGAAGTGTTCATTCCATTTTTGAAGGATGGCTGATGGATCACGGAGTATTTGGCCATGGTCGTCTTTGATGTTCTTTACGTGGTGTGTATCTTGGGTTGCACGGTGTCGGGTGCTGGCAAGCCGGTAAATCTTATTTGCTCCTTCTGGTGTGTCAAGATCCTCATACAAGCGGTTGCAGTGGGCAGCCTTCGCTGCTGCAACTGCACTCCTTGCTGAGGACTTGAGGTTACGGTATCGCTCATAGTCATCTTCGGCACCTGATTGCCTCCATCTCTTGAATGCCTTTTTCTTTTCTATGACGGCTGCTTGCACTTCATTTCACCACCAAATACATTTGTCGAGGTATCTCCTTTCAGGTTTTGTGTTGCCTAGGATGGTTGAGGCTGTCGTGTGAATGTGTTGGACAAGGCTGGACCAGATGGTGGACACTGGTTGTTTGGGATTGTTGTTGAAGTTGGCCATGCTCAGATCAACTGCTTCCTTGAACTGAGTTTTATGTTCAGGTAGGCGGTGCCACTTAATTCGTTCAGGTCCAGTCTTTTCAGGTTTTGAGGTGTTGCTGAGCTTGAGTTTAAAGTGAAAATCGATGAGGAGTGGGCGGTGCTGAGGTGCAATGTTGTCTGATAGTATTACTTTGGCATTAACCACGAATTTTAGATCCTGTCTTCTAATGAGGCAGTAGTCTATTTGGGTCATCCGTTTACCACTGGCATAGGTCACTAGGTGGCTGAATCGCTTTTTGAAAAAAGTGTTGACGATGGCCAAGTCGAAAGCTTCAGCACACTCTAAGATCCTGTCACCCTCAGCATTCCGGTCCCTGAGTCCACTTCCACCATGCACTTGCTCGTAATTTTCTCTTGTTGCGCCGACATGGCCATTGAGGTCACCACCGATTATCAGGAATTCATCATTCCCAACCAACCGGAGGTGTGCCTCAAGGCTTCTCCAAAATTCGTCCTTTTCATCTTTCAGGGCGCCTTGTGGGGCATAGCAGGAAACGACTCGGATAGCTAGTTCGCCGGCTTCAATCTTCACAGACATTAGCCGGTCAGAAATGCGCTGGACATCAGTGATGTTATCACGGAACCGCTCACTAACTGCTATGCCAACGCCATTCCGGTATGAGTTTGTACCATTATACAATAGTTTGAATTTATCACCAATTTCTCGAGCCTTTGAGCCCTTCCACTTTGTCTCTTGAATGCAGGCAATGTCTATTTGCCGCATTTTGAGTGCAGCTGCCAACTCTCGGCTTCGAGTGGTGAGGGTGCCGATGTTGATAGTGGCTACTCGTAAGAGTTGGACTATCCTCTTTAGCCCGCCACGTCCAGGGGCGGGTAGCCCTTGCTGACTGTTCACACCGTTCGGGCGTAAACGATGTGCGTCGCCTACGGGGAACGCCCTAGCCGTATTCGTTAAATGTTGATTGGGCATTGCATATTGATACGACTGAAAATACTCCAACCGGCGCGTCGCACCGCCTGACATTGGAGACCCTCACCGTTAGCTTCTTCCCGAAGGTTGATGTTTCCGGCCGGCACCGCGAGGTGGTGGTGATGGGATTTTGCCGGCCCTATATTTACACTATACCATTCGTATATATACAATCTAGTTATTGTAGAATCTTCTTCCTGCCTTGAACCGCTAAGACGGTGGCTTGCACTCTCGAAGGTGGTTGCTGGGTCATCGGTTGCCCATGAGAGGCCGATGACCGCCCCATCATCTGAAGAGTCTGCACTGAGTGGCAAATTTTTCGAGCTGCCTGAATGTCCTCTTTGTGCTCAGGAAGTAATCCCACGGCGGAGGCCAAGACTTGCCGTTTTGTGTGCACAAGTTTATAAATTCCCCTCTTGCAACATTGTGCAAGGGGCAGTGTAGTAAGATGTGTTCGATGTCACCCGTTGACGTATCATCGCAGCTGCAGTTGTCGCTGCTTTTTCTCTTTATCCTGTGTAGGTAGCTCGGTAGGTTCCCATGGCCGGTTAAGAGCTGGGTTATGCTGTAGGTGGGGGTAAGGTAAGTTATTGTTTGTCTGTTGGTGATTGATGGTATAAACCGGTATGTGTTTCTCCCAGTCGTTGAGTGTGACCATTCTCTTTGCCATTCCTTTATGGTTTTGTCCTTTATGTAATTTTGTATGTGAA